TTTTTTTTTTTTTTTTTTTTTTTTGTTTGTTTGTTTGTTTACTTCTGCCTTTCTCTTGTAAAATAGGAAAGAAACCCTACAGTTTTGATCGGTGAATGAATGAAAAGATTGATTTTTTAACTTTGATGATTCATCGAGTCCTCGGTTATGATTGGTTGAAACATTTGCCATTGTTTTCCTACAGCTTACAGCCCCAAATCCAGTTTCCTTTGACTTTTAGAATCTTTTGCCTTTTTACGTCCAAAAAAGAGAAGGAGAAAGATAAAAAAACAACAGTTTTTATGGTTTTTAACTCTTATAATTCCTAAACATATTTTCTACCTTTCGCATGTTTAATGAGAGCAAAACGAAACAAAAAAAAAAGAAGGGGCTTGGAAAACAAGTTTAAAAAAGTGCTCAAGTTTAAATACTTATTTCAAACTTAAAAAACTGTTAGCAGATGTGTTTCAGTAAGTTCCCAAGTTAGTATTTTGGCTTTTTTTTTTTTGTCATTCCGTTTCCTTTTTTTAAAAGATACATACACAATTCTTTTTTTTTTTTTTTACATTAATTTTAAATTAACAACATGAAAATTTTGTAAAAAAACAATAATTTCTACTTTATATAATCTGTGTGTCTGTGTTTCTGTTTGTAGTTTTTCTTTTTTGCTAATGCAAAAAAATTTTTTTTTTTAGATTGCATTTTTAAAAAAACTGAGCATCAATGGGTGTCTGTTGTAAACGATGGATAAAATTACTGAAAAATGAGAAGTTTAATCATTGTCGGTCATATCAATCGCCAACTACTATTGTTTCATTAATTAACCCAAAAATATGCCTTAAATTTCCGCACTTTTATTGACTATTATAACAATATTGCAATTTCCAATTTTTTTTCAAATTTTTCTCCTGTTAAATTTTTCAGTTAACCAACTAAAGCAAAGAATTCAGTTTATCAGTTCAGTTGAGCATCTGAAACTAATGCCAATTTTTTTTCCTTCTTCTCTTTTTTTTTTCTTTTCTATTGCTTCTTTTGTTGGTTTTCTTGTTGTTGCTGATACTGCTGCTGCTGCTGCTGTTGCTGTTAATGTCGTTGGTGTTTTACAGATGATGACAGCAGATGTCTTCTGAAAAATGAAGAACAAATGTATAGTTTATTTGATATCCGTGAAACTTAAGTTTTTAA